GTGTGTGTGTGTGTGTGTGTGTGTGTGTGTGTGTGTGTGTGTGTGTGTGTGTGTGTGTAACTGTCAATCAGCTGGTTCTGTGTTGGGTGTGTGTGTTCAGCCAATCCGTACCCTGATGTGAGGAGGAGGTACTGGAACGCCTACATGTTGTTTTATCAGAAGATCAGTGACCAGAACTCTCCTGCTCTGCCAAAGAAAAGCCGAGTCAGCATCATGAGGCAGGAAGCTGAGGACCTGAGCCTGTGAGTCCAGAGTCCTGCTCAGACCAGGCTGTTACTTCATGAATCAGTTCTTCTCATTCAGACTGCTGTATGTTTCAGGTCTGCCCCCTCCTCTCCTGATGTCTCCCCTCAGTCCTCCCCTCGACCACCAAGAGCCAACAATGACCGGCTGACCCTTCTCACCCGCCTGGTGCGCAAGGGTGAGAAGAAGGGTCTGTTTGTGGAGAAAATGCCTGCTCGTATTTACCAGGTAACCCAGCTGCCTGTGTGAGTCTGTGAAGCCCCTCAGTGGGGTGGTCTCCTCATCAGCTCCTGTGTTGTTGCACAGATGGTGAGAGATGAGAATCTGAGGTTCATGAGGAACAGAGACGTCTACAGCAGTGACTACTTCAACTTCATCCTGTCCCTGGCTTCAGTCAATGCAGTGAGACTCTCTTTTCTTTTGTCAGAACTGACCTGTTGACTCAGCTGTGTGTAACACACAATCAGATGTAACACAACATGTTTACATCCTTTCACAGACTAAACTGAAGCATCCAGACTACCAGCCCATGGCCAAAGAAAGCCTCCAGCTGGCTGTTCACTTTCTCTTCCACACCTTTCTGCACACCAAAAAGAAACTCAGGTAACAACACACACACACACACACACACACACTCAAGGTTACTGTTGTGTTTTGTAACATTATTCATTTCTTTAAAAACAAAATAAATGCTATATCAAATAAAAAATACAAATCACAAATAAAATGAAAATCGTACATCTGCCCCTTTAAAAAACATAAATTAAAACAATAATCTACAAATAACAAAATAAAAAACACAAAACATCCAATCCTTCTTGAACAACAATAGATACACTTTATATAAATATGGAATAGTTTCCATATTTCTTCAACAATTCACTTGATCAATCTCTTAAACAGAAACATTAATCTGGCATCTTTGACTTCACTCACCAGATTATTCCATAATCTTATTCCTTGGATTGAAGTACACCGCTCCTTCAAACTGGTTCTAAATTTAGATTTAACAAACATCTCTGTCCCCCTTCAGATTGTAACAACGCTCTCTTTTAACAACACATAACTGGATGTTTGAAGTTAATGTGCTTTTATAAGCCTTATACAGAACTGACAAAATACTATAATCAACCAAATCATAAAACTTCAATAATTTCAACTGATAAAATAATATATTTGATGGGTGAAATGTTTTCTGGTGATAATTCTTATAGGTCTTATCTGTAAAACAAAAATAGGATTTATAATTGTTTTACACACYTTACCACAGACTTCAAAACACTGGGCCTCATTCAAGAACATGTTTGTATTGTTATCCTAAATTTCTCTTACTTTGTACAGTACTGCAAATAATTAGAGGTTTCCATGTCAGCTTTTCATCACCCAGAAACTTCACCTCACTGACTACAAATATCAACACCATCTAAATGGAATATCTATAGTTGTCTTTCAATTACTGAATATCATATAATTAGTTTTATCCAGATTTAATGATAATATATTTCATTTAAACTAAGTTTGTATTTTAACAAATTCTGTCTGCATCATTTCCAACAGCTGTTCTGTATCATTACCCAAACAAAAAAACGTGGTATCATCTGACAATAAAACACATATAAACAACCCTGACAYATTAACCAAGCCATTCACGTATAAAATAAATAACTTAGGTCCAAGTACAGAACCCTGAGGAACTCCATATGTTACAGAGTTCAGATCTTACAGCAATTATTTGTTTCCTGTTTCCTATATTTCAAATAGCTAGATACCCACTGCAGTACAGACCCTCTAATGCCATATTGTTCCAGCTGTGGCCTTCCTTAGTATCAAATGATGTGTATTTGTATTATCAGAGTATGAGATGTTGTGTATTTGTCGTGCAGGGTGGACACAGAGGAGTGGATGGCAGCGGTGGAGGTGTTGCTGTCTAAGAGCAGTGAGGCGTGTCAGTGGATGGTGCAGTACCTGGTGGGACCAGAGGGACGGGAAATCATCAGGTCAGAATTGATTGGGTTGCTGATAAATTTGGTGCCACCGTTTCTGAAACACTGCAGCTGTGTGTGGTTGGAACCTAATGGAGACGCATTGGGCCCAGACAGAACCGAACCACATACCTGGTGGAGCCGGGGCTTTATACCACTCCTCAGTCCGGCTGCATGAAGACAAGGTTTTTTTACATGACACTGTGGAAACCTGAGATGTTTTCACTGAAGCTTCATTTCCGTGAATATTTGGGTTTTTAAAGGCTGTGGTTTTAACTTTTGATCAGCTGATGAACAGACTAGCTCAGTTTAAAACTTGTTTTAATAAAATGCTGACTCAGATGTTTTTTGGTCTCACTCCTGTTTCCTCTTCAAAGCTCTACTCAGAACCTTCTTCAGGTCCAACAGTACAAAATGTGAATTCTAGCCATTTTTCAGCTGGTCTTAGACTTTTGATGAGGAGTGGATGGTCCAGGACCACAGTGTTAAAGTGTCAGAGTATTAAAAACATGTGTGTGTCTGTATTGGTGCCATGTTTGATGCTGACTGGTTCCAACGGTCAGACCATCTCTGGACTGTAAACATTCAGAGCTGGAGGGTAGTTTCCTAAAGCATGGCTGTTTTTACAGACTTGTGTTGCTTCCTCTGCTCTGTGTGTAATGATGGCCTGATCAGACATGATTGGTTGTTGAACATCAGATGTTTGTGTATCTATAAACCTCCAGCCCTCTTTGACACTTTACATGGTTGTTCTGAAGTAAAGGAAACTCTAAATTCCTGAGTCTGTGTCTCAGGCCCAGCAGGCCCAGCAGTCCAACACAACAGACTCACAGCTGTGCTAACCCTGGAACAATAAATATCTTAAATAAGTAAAGGAAAGAAACTGTTGTACCTCTGGTACCATGACTGCTGATGATGCTGTCCTCTCCTCAGGGTCAGTCTGTTGGAGTGCAGTGTGCGAGAGGTGAGGACAGTAGTGGCCTCCATCCTGGAGAAGACTCTGGAGAGTGCTCTGCACTTTGGAGACCCGGGCCTGGACGGTCTGACTGATGCTCTGCTGTCCTTATTGGACAAAGACGTTGCTGAAAATGTGAAGAACTGTGCGCAGTACTTCAGCCTCTTCAGTAACTTGGCTCAGAGGGTAATTCATGGCCGGTCACAGTGAACAACACTGGATTAATGAGGATWAATGAGTGTCTGAGCCGTGTGTGTGTGGGTCCTGTGGTTTGATTTCAGGGTTGTGGTTCTTGTCAGCTGTTGTTGAAACACTCAGCCTACCATCGGATGCTCATCTTCCTCTTAGGACCCAACAGACAAAACAACCAGGTATGACTGCACAGTGTCCACTGTGAGCCTGCAGAATGCCCTGTTTTCATGTACAGCTCCTGCTGGGTCTAAGTCTTGCAGCGTGACTTTGTGTTTCAGAATCGAAGGTGGAGTCCAGCCCAGGCTCGAGAGTTTCTCCACCTCCACAGCACTCTGGCCCTCATCACTCTGCACTCTGACCTCAGCTCCCAGAGGACACTGGGTGAGTCCCTCCTACTGTTAGCTGTCACACAAATGCAGAGATGGACATGTTGTTTTTGTCCCAACACGCTCCATCATGGACTCACCTGGACTCAATATGGCCACCACAGCTAGTGGATGCTAGCCGACACAGAAATATGTCTAATGCTGCGTTCAGACCCAACGATCAGAGCAGCAGGGTGTCTGGTTCACATTTAGGGCCGTCGAGAAGTCAGACCCTTACAGAGGTCAGACCCTTACAGAGGTCAGACCCTTACAGAGGTCAGACCCTTACAGAAGTCAGACCCTTACAGAGGTCAGACCCTTACAGAAGTCAGACCCTTGCAGAAGTCAGACCCTTGCAGAAGTCAGACCCTTGCAGAGGTCAGGCCCTTACAGAAGTCAGACCCTTACAGAAGTCAGACCCTTACAGAGGTCAGACCCTTACAGAGGTCAGACCCTTACAGAGGTCAGACCCTTGCAGAAGTCAGGCCCTTACAGAAGTCAGGCCCTTACAGAAGTCAGACCCTTACAGAGGTCAGACCCTTACAGAAGTCAGACCCTTACAGAGGTCAGACCCTTACAGAAGTCAGACCCTTACAGAGGTCAGACCCTTACCGAGGTCAGACCCTTACAGAGGTCAGACCCTTGCAGAAGTCAGACCCTTGCAGAGGTCAGACCCTTGCAGAGGTCAGACCCTTACAGAAGTCAGACCCTTGCAGAGGTCAGACCCTTACAGAGGTCAGACCCTTACAGAGGTCAAACCCTTACTGAGGTCAGACCCTTACAGAAGTCAGACCCTTACAGATCTTTACAGATGGACCTATAATCTGATGTGACGTCTAGTAGGGATGCAAACAATTAATTGTCTTACGATTATTTGTTGAATAATGGTTTATTAGATTAAAATTCCTTCCATTCCATTAATTGAAAACATCTGTTTAAACCTTATTTCTGTGTAGTTTTGACTTCATCCAGTAGAGGGCGCTGCTGCTCTCAGCCTGGCCTCTACCTCTAATTACTCCAGCCCTGTTGAGCTGAGAGCTGTCATCATTATTAAACGTACAAATGATGTTTAGTTTTACTTGTGACACAACAATAATAATGGACCAAACCAAACTGGAAGGAAAAGTACTGAAGTCTGTACTGGACCATCCAGCAGTATGACACTTAAAACAACAGAGCAGGACGACACAACGGTAAGCTAACTGTGGCTAACTTTAGCTTCTTCTTGAGTTTAACTCGTGTGAAAGAAAATAAAGTTAATCACTACAAATAATTAACTTGAAGTTAATCTGTGTAACGTAACCTGACCAGTGAACAGATCTAATGATGTTAAACCAGTCCAGATGGAACCACAGGGAACAGAAACAAACACAGGTCCAGTACTTGTTTCTACTCTCACGTCTTTCAGGGATATTTGATTATGTTTATAGTTTGTTTTTGAGTTAATCTTTATCTTAAAACATTACTCTGTGTTTAAATAATAGTTTTTTATCTTCAGGGTGGATTAGGTGTTTTACTTATTTTATTTTATTTATTCAACTAGCAACCGAACAGATTCCTGTTTTGTTATATTTTATAAATATGTCCATGTTTAATAATGTGAGAGAAATCTACAGTTTTCTGTTTATTCAGTCAGTGTTTAATACAGCTGGCACAATAAATTTATAATATATAATACTGTACTTTTTTAATTTACTGTAAAAAAAATTAGCCCTTCATGTTATAGAAAGACCCATGACTCAAGAGAAATGTCAGGTTTTTATGAAAATGGCCGCTTATCAATGAATTGTTAGTCGATGGATAAGATCAGTCAACTTTAGATGAATCCATTAATYGATAACTTGCATCCCTAGTGTGTAGTATTGCACGTTTTCATATTTCCAGCTTTGAAACAAGTCTTTGTCTGAACTGTAAAGCACTTTGGTCAGATTTTGTTGCTATAAATAAAGGTGACATTGAGTTGACACACAGCCAAAGCAGCAGGTGCTTGAGTTGATAAATCAGAAGTTTGCAGCTGTACGCAGAGTCAACCAATCAAAGAGACTCCACTATGTGACGCAGTGCTGTCCTAGTTCACAGGCTCCTCCTCATGTGGCCCACAAAGTCTCACAAACCAAGGATGCATCCGAGTATCCCTCCAGCTGAGGATATCCCAGGATTCAATGAGCCGACAGCAACTGAACAGAAATGAACATGGCAAAGTTTTGTTTTTTTAACGAGTCGGCGTAGTTTGTAAATTCATCACGGATCAAATCATTTGTTTTTTAAATGTAAGTTTAACAAATTAGATGATGATCTCATACTCTGATGGTTTGGACCCTCCTGCTGCTCGACCACCACCCGGTCTCCAGCCTCCTCCATTACTCGAGACCAGAACTTCTCCGTCTATGCTTCCGACCGAGCGCACCACCATCACCGCCTCGACGAAGATATATTCACTGTGGCTCCCGCCACAGATTCTCCTCCGGCAAGCCCATAAACTCCGTCTGGTCTGACCGAGCTCCACGCTGCATCACCCAGGCCACTAACAATAGCATGTTAGCTAACCTAGCTCGGTCGGCTCCAACACCTCCGCTGTTAACTTTGGGCTTTTAAACGTTCGTTCTCTCACTGGCAAAGGTCAGCTCAGTAAGGACCTTATCTTTGACTTTTCTCTGCTTAACTGAAACCTGGCAACAACAGAATCACTTTTTTTCATCTTAATGAAACAACCCCACCAGGGTTTGTTTACATCGCAGAATCCCGTGAATCTGGCCGTGGAGGAGGTCTCGCCATAATTCACCGCGAGAACTGGAAGGTCACTCCAGTTCACACACCTCCCTCCACCTCTTTTGAGCAGACTGTGTGCTTACTATCCGGCCCTACCCCCACCATTGTTGCCACTATTTATCGCCAACCCAAACCAAACAATTCTTTCATAAATGACTGCTGATTTTCTCGYCTACCTCTCAGCACTTTCAGCCAACATTGTCCTGCTGGGAGACTTCAACATTCATATGGATGTCGACAACAACCCACTCACCGGAGACTTTACATCCTGTCTCGACAGCTGTGGCTTCCAGCAGCTCAGCAATTTTCCAACTCACACCCTGGACTTATGTTGCTCTGGTCTGTCACCTCTTAAATGTTCTTCTGATGAGCTTCCCTTTACTGATCACCTGTTGCTTTCTTTCAGCGTTAATTTGAAATTCTCTTCTTTCAGACCACAACGCACCATTCAGTTTCATAACATCAAGAACATCAACCAGGAAGCTCTCCTTTCTCAGATTAACAACGATTTCTCCACCGTTAACTCAACTAACCKAGATGATCTAGTCTCCACCTACAACAATGGTCTCACCAACATCCTCGACTCTCTTGCTCCTCTTAAAACCTTCTCCACTTCTGCTCCATGGTTCACCTCAGAACTTCGCTCCATGAAAACACAAGGTCACAGACCAGAGTGACTCTACAAGAAATTAGGACTTACAGTTCACAAAGAGATGTACCTGAACCACACCTCACAGTACACAGAAAGTATCACTCAGGTCAAATCTATCTACTTCACTGACATCATCAGTTCCAACACTCAGACTCTTTTCTGTCTCCTAACGTCACAGTTTCATCTCTGAACTCTCTCACATGTTTCTACTGACTGCTGTCACTCCCTCATGTCATTCTTCACTGAAAGAATCTGCTCCATACACCAACACCTTGGACCAAACTCTGCCCCCAACATCTTTATAGACCCCACCCCCTCCATCCCCCTCTCTGTCTTCACTCTCCCCTCTGCTGCTGACGTCTTTGCCATCATTAGGAAGTCCAAATCCTCCTCCTCACAGCTAGATCCCATCCCCACAGTTTTGGTTAAATCCTGTCTCCCCTCTCTGCTTCCTGTCATCAGTAACATCATCCACTCCTCTCTGACCACTGCTACTGTTCCCACAGCTTTTAAACCAGCTGCCATCACCCCRTCATAAAGAAAACAGGTCTAGATCTGACTAACTTCAATAACCTCCGTCACATTTCTAATCTGTCCTTCATCTCCAAAMTCCTTGAAAAGGTCGTCTCTGATCAGCTTCACTCACAGCTCTCCAACAATAACCTGTGTGAACAGTTCCAGTCAGGTTTTCAACCACATCACAGCACAGAAACTGCTCTTATTAAAATGACTGATGAKCTTCTCCTTRCTGCTGACTCAGGACTTCTGTCAAAACTCATCCTCCTTGATCTGAGCTCTGCCTTTGACACCATCTCTCATCCTATTGTAAGGATCATCTTACACTTCTTATAACAAGGTTATAAGAGTAATTTAATT